AATAGAAATGAAAAAAATAATAATTTAACTTATTTTATTTCAACTAGCTACCAAGGCAAAACTTTAGTTTAACTTGATGTACTAAAATAACTAAACTGAAAAAAAACTATATAGACATAAAAAACAATAATAAATGACAACAACAAAACACAACAAAATCACTGAAACATTTGCTAAAATTAAAATAAAAATATAAAAATAAATACCAATTAATAAAATATTAATAAAAACTGTAATAGCATCTCAATGATACTAAAATAACATGGGTGCAACCGTATTATTACAATACATGTCAATTTCTTCTAAATTCTGCTTAGAAATAATAAACATTGGAAGAAAAAACAAACAGATAAACACAAAACCTGCAAGAGATGAACTTAAATCGTGAAATTTAGTTTACAAACAACTTGCCAGGGCTCTCTCCTTTTTTCAGCGCCCCGCTTTTCCGTTTCTCCTCTCTCAGCGAGCCTCGGAGAGAGAAACAGCGGAGTCAGGGAACTAAGAAACCGGTCTGAGCGTGCGCATGCCGGCACTGTACCCACGTGCTCGCTCTCCCCGCTGCGCTTTGATCCGCCGCAGAAGGGCAGTGAGCTGCGCGCTCACTGAGACAGAATGCTCACTCAGAGCATGAGATATATATATATATATTATAATTTCCTAATTACATTTTTCATCTATATGACTTATTAAGAGTATATGATGGCACTGCATTTGCTGATCATGGTTTCAAGGATCTTGTGTCATTTCCAAAATGAGTGTTTGTTTCATTTCAGCAATTATGTTTGCTGCCAAAAAAAGCGCATAGTTGAAATTAAGTTGTTTTAGAAATTTGTCATGTCCTTGTGGTATGGCATGCTTTTAAAAACTCTTTTAGAAATGTTTCAATTATTTTATAGTTATGCAGCTTTCATATCAAACAGCGACCACATGACCATTTGAAACGAACTAGTGAAAGAAAGAAAAAAGATGGAAAACTTCTAAAAGATCTAAAAATGTACTCTCTTTAGAATGCTTTTTGACTTCCTTCATTAGCACATACATTAAGAATAAAAAGATTTACAGTCAGTTGTATGTAAATGCACTGGACTGCCCTTTCTACATCACATTAACTTCCACATCACATTCATCCTGTCCTGAAAGCCGATTGGCTCTCATTCATTCGGCTCGTGTCTGTCTGGATGCATATGCTACAGCCGCAACTCCTGATAGGACAGCAGGGCAGAGCAGCGCGTGAACACGCCGTAATGCTCCAATGACATTTTGACTTGTGTTTAGACGACTGAAGGGGGCGGAGGGCGGATGGTGGATGGGGGTTGGTACAGGCAGGGTGGAGTAAACCCTTTAACTGGGATACAAATGATCAGCTGGAGGGGAGAGTGCTGTGAAATGCAAAACACATTAGTATGGATGCTCATTTTATAACTTTTGCTGTAAGGGGGTAAATCTAATATTAATACACGGTCAGAGTTTTGCTTCATTTATGTTGCACGAGTAACTGAACCAAGCTATTCATAGAAGTAAACACAATCAACTTTATCTTTAGCGATAGACATCAGATGCCATGTTAAATGATGTTAGCAAGAAAATATTTTATGATAAAGAGATACATGAGGTAATGTACAAACAACGCAGACCAACAGAAGTATAAGCACCGTTACAGACTACCAATAAAGGCAGTACAGAGGCGCATATTTGCATTTTAATAGCTGGAGGGATTTGTGTTAATTTAAGCTATGTGGGGGTGAGGTCTGTGAGGGGCTGGTGGGGTCCCAAACATTAACGTCAATCATACAGCTCACACTTAATCAAAATACACACTCTTTGGTCTCTCCCTAATCAAAAAAGATCATTTAAGAACAGCCACAGTATTTGATTTTCATATCATTTATTGGTAGAATAATATATACAGTTCAAGGCAGTACCTTGCCAAAACGTCTGGTTTGTATTATTATGTCGTTTTCAAACTGTAACAGACTTGATTTACAGCCCATCAGTGTATCTTTACCAACACATTTTGGTGAACATTTGAAACTATTTCTGCTGTTTTGTAGATATGTGTGGGAGCGCGCATGACTCCATAACTAAGGGAGCGCGTTCACGTGACAGAGGAAGGGAGAGTTCCTCTTTTCACTGCTCCATCCGGGAACTTTCCGAATTAGCATTGACAACCAAAGCGCAACTTTTCCCCAGGCAAAGTGAAATCAAGCCGCGCACTCGGACACAATATAGTTCCACATTTTCAACTCAAAGTCTTAAAAATAAAGCCGTACGATTCGGATAGGTTGGATAGGCTTTTGCCGTGTGGATGTCGGAGTGGATCTACGTGACTGCTGAAACCTTTAGATCGCCTTTTGAGCACTTTTGTTAATACTGGCGTAAAGTGGGTGATGAGTCTTACGGCCAGTAAAGAAGCGAGAACTTGCTGTGCAACCCCGAGTAGTTCTTGCGTTTGTTATTGTTGCTTTAAAAATATTTGTAATACGCCACAAATAACGCGGATCGCGTCGAAAGTGGGGGAAAAGTGCTTCTGAAGTCGGAATATGGAGCTACAAGGCCTTCAAGAAGCATTGAAAGTAGAAGTCCAATGTCATCAGGTAAATAAAAATGGCATTATGTTGAAGCTTTCCCGGGACTTCTTATGTGAATACACGCTGGAAGACAGAAATCCGCCGTGTTCGAACGTTTTAATTTGGTTGGAATCCGTAGCCTTTCAGAGTGATACAACGGTAACATTCTTTCGCCTTTATGAGGCCATAATCACTTTGAGCGCAGATTGTTAAAACGCTCTTTGATGCACTTTAACGCGTGCGGTGCGGTTTTTTGCGATTTGCACTAATAATGCGGCGGTTTTGTGTAGCGATCGGGACGAGACTTGAATATTTATGAGGTTCAGACGGACTCGCTGCTCGTCGCTTTGTTCCTCCCTCATATCCTAACTTGAAACACTTTAAACGAAACGTCTTTTCGTGGTTTTGCTTCGTTTAGAAACTAGTTGCACAGATGAAGCAGGACCCACAGGTAATTCATTTTATTTGAAGCGTTGAAGAATGGGGCATTTACATTGGGTGAGAAACTTTGTCGGCATCAGTAGTTCGTACGGTCGTTGGCTATGCTTTGTCCTTTATGTGACTTTGCCAAATAGCACAAATGGTTTTGTCAAGTTTTGAAAATATCTTGCTTGTTTTTATTTTTTTATTGTTTTTGGGGGATCGTATTGATCATATGTGTATAATTTTATAACAAGAGCTTAAGAGACAAGTCCATGAAAGGCAAAGCAGAATAACATCCCTAAGTGAAAAACAAGTAAGAATTCACTCATGTTTTCAACATTGTGATGTATTAGTGATCATATTTTCCGTTACAAGTGCATTAAACGTGTTAGAAACATATTTGCCCCCCGCCCCCACAAAATGAATTAAAACTACTAGAAATCATCCCAACTGCTTTATTTACACACGAAAATTGGATTGGTACTTTAGTAAATTGTTTAACGCGTCCATTTTAGTAGGTCGACATGTTTCTAGGGAGTTTGTGAAGGAAAGTTACTCACTCAGACAAGTTACATTAAACATCGCTGTTTAGCGTGTACTTAACCTAAACGTACTTATTCGATACTTATCTTTCCAGAGGGATTTTCTTTTTTTTTTGGTCACATGACGACGTGGTCGAATTTGATTCGATCACTGCAGTTCACTTTCACTTTTTTTTATAATCGCGACTTAAAAGGAAGGTCATCTATTAGCGTTCCGATAGCTATTATTAATACGTTTATGGGTAATTCGTCTGTTTGGCCCTGGTTTGATGCGTTTGTTAGAGAACCTCTCAATCCTTCACTGAATTCGTCTGTCACAGAACGACAGAATTTTGAGTCCGTTCGATGGCCGTTCAGGTCATAACGCGACATTCAGCACCTCGGACAGCGGCGCACGCCTGCATTTCAACGCGTTTGACATGTCAAATGTTGCAGCTGTGTGTGTTTGTGTTAAATGTTTGTTGTGAGGCTTTTTGGTGTACCTCAGTTTGATAGTGGAAGCTTCCATTTTGTGCTGAAGGGGTGTTGGTTTCTTCCTAACATGGAGCAAAAGTCTGCAGAGTTTCTTGCTGTGGGGGGAGGGCTCATTCATGGCCATTCTAAAGAGGGGGAAGGGAGGAGAAAACACTAGTCAGCATCACACAAGACACTACACACAAGCCTCTGTAGGCCTTATAATACTCATTATGAGCTTCTTGTAATTAATAGCGGCTATCACAGTTAGAATGCTTAATAATACTTATTCCTTCTTAAGAGTAAAATAATGCATTAAATACTATAGGAAAGACATTAAAATACATGAATACATTAAAACACACTATATATTTGTTGTTTTACCTAATGTAAGTATGATATGTTAATTTTATTTATAACTGTAGATTGTGTAATTATATCAAAGGACTTACAGTATTACAAGGCATGATGATGTCTCTATAATGCATTAATAATACCCATACAATGCATTCAGAGCTCTAAAGCCAAGAGATTTCAAAGCATATTATTAATACACAGCTAAATGTTAACCTTTTAGAAAATAAAACGTCGGCTTTCATAAACCAAATAAAAGCTGCATCTTTGCAGTACAATTTATACATTTTCATTTCACATATTTTTCCTGCTTATTTTAAGAAGTGAATTATGTGTTATAAATGTGTGGCAACTTGTGCAGTGGTTTAATAGATAATCCGGAGTGTTGCAAACCTAACCACAACATTTATATGCAAATGCTGAGTGAACGTTGCAGTTATGTTGTCAGAATTAAATGTGATTAAGCTTAATCAGGTTATGTATTGTATTTGTGAGAATCTAGTCTAACTAGAAATATGTTGAGCTGTAACTGAACATCATACTGGACATTTTTTGGGCGTCTGGGCCTGTACTGACCTATCCTCTTTATATTTCACTCGAACTTTCATTTGAAGGAGGCTTGAAATGCAGATGAACAGGAGAAGCAAACCCTCCAGCATTTATTAGCTGAGAACATCATAATTGTGTGAAGCCTTTGTAAGTATCTAGTGTTCCCCGCAGGGCAAACGTCTTTCATCCACATATAAATATCTATCTTAGCTGGTGAGTTTTTAGTACATATTGCGTGAGAGGGTTTTTTATTGTTGTCTTCTTGCTAGTTGTTGCATCACTGATCCAGAAACGCTCATAAACTTGGTGTAAGTCTTGAGCTTTGATTTGCTCACTTCAACTCAATGTTTGGTCTCTCTCAGGGCTTACAAATCCTTCTTAAAATGATCCCTGTGTGTTTTCATGTGTGTCCCTCGTGCACAGTGTAAAATGAATTGTATTGTTTTTGTCTTTTGGAATGTAATAAGATTTCCTTCCTGCAAAGATGTCCCTGTTTTCGTTAGCTTGCAGGAAAGGCTACATTTGCACTGTCTGTTTACTCAGATTCTGTTACCCACATTTCCATGTGATAAATGAATAGTTCACCCAAAATCTCATTTTATAGAGAGTGAAGAAAGTGCAAGTTTACAGGTTGCATAAGTTATGTGCATTAGCACAAATGCAAGTGGCCTGTGTCTCTTTGCCTGAAAGCAGTTCAGCGTTCTGTCCAGAGTGATTTGTGTAACTCTGTCCCACAGACTGACAGCAGCTTTACTATATAAAAACATCTGACTGTAATTGTAAAAATGTATTATAAACATTAGGGCTGTCGCGGTGAAGGAATTTCCCTTGTGGTAATTTTGAGTGGCTCAATAGTATGCGGTATATATTATGGCCATTAGGGCTGTGCGATTAATCGAAATCGTCATAAAATCGTGATTTGAGCTTGCGCGATTTCTAAATCGCTTTATAGCACGATTTTCGCATGAGGAGCGTACTGCAAACGCATCCTGTGCGAAAGCAAAATGAGTCCGTGCTGCTTCTGCACCGCATACACTTACTGTATACGCACTGCAGACGGAGTACGTGTGAACTTGGCGCAACAAATCTAGTTCAACATCTGAGGCAATGCCACAAAGAGCTCTATGACCAATGCATGGCAAAAAAAATCCCTGGACACTGGATTTTTTTCTCTTTTTCTGCCATATATGTCTATTCTAGAGACATTTTGTTACACCTTCACTTAGTGATTATTTTGCCTTATGTCTGTTCTAGAGACATGGTACAGCTTCTTGATAAAGCTCTAATTGGTTTTCTTTTGGAAATATGTTTCAAATTCACACTGAATGCATTTATGACTGTAAAGCATGTCTGTGTGTCAAAATCGTGATTAAAATCGAAATCGAAATCGCAAAATTGATCAAAGAAACCGCGATAGGTTTTTTTTGTCCATAATTCAGCCCTAATTCTGGCCTTAAATTATCACATCAAATCATTTTTATTCTTCAGAAATACAGCAACATTCAAAGCTTGTTCCCTGTGGGAGAATCAAACACTATGTCGTATAGCCAACAAAACCGGTTTAAATTTCTTTACTTAAAAAAAAAAACACAGAGAGCTGACCTATTTTCACAAATATATATGACTCGCAAGTAATCGCACATGCTCAGTTGATCTCTCTCTCATTCGTTGTCTGTTTAGGCTTGTTAAGTGCAAATCTACAGAGCCTCAGTACAAATCAGCATGGTAGGCCTACACATTATGTTATCATTACTAACTTATTTAATATTCAGTACACATACACGAAGTGTAAAACGAGAAGGGCATAGCCCTATGAAAAAAGAAAACATGCAAAAATCGCAGTTGCTGCGGTTCTTGCATTCCTCTGCGGTTTGCTCGTCAATAGCGCGGTATTGCGATATTGCGGTTATCGCGACAGCCCTAATAAACATATTATACACTTGGAAGTAAACATGTGAAACCTTGGAAGTGTGAAATCCCACAGATGTGGTCACTATTGTCCATCGATAATTTCAGAAGAAAATAGAAAATTCAGAATTGGCGAGACTAGGCCTGCTGTTAGAACACATTTTTGTTAGCATCATGAAACGGATCTTCATGGTACATATGTATGAAACTGTTCTTTAAATGATTTCACAATGTTTTTGAGTATCTTATCTGAGCAGAATATCACAGTCAGTCACTAGTGGTCACAACACTCTTCCTCATTTAAAGTACACGCAATCCATTATATTGGCAAGATTGATATTTTGCAAAGTTCATCCAGATTTGATCAGGCACATTGGTCGTATCTAATGGTAACACATATTAAGGACAGCAGCAGTGCGAATCATTCAAGTTCAGACATGATGGTGTTACCTACACAAACCGTTATAGGCCCAGACTCGAGCTCAATGTGTGAGGGTATAAGACCTGAAGGAAACATCCAAAAGCACATGATGGATAACTAGCAGAAGCTTCATTTTAATGAATTTAATTGGTTTGTACCGTTTTTGATCTGTCTTCGTGTCTCATAGCAACACTGTCTGCGGTAAATCATTCATGCGGTTATTTCTGTTGATGTATTTCACTCTATTATTGTGAAACGCTTCTGTAGTTATTCATTCACAATCTCATAAAACATTAAGTCATGTAAGTGATTCGTGCCATGCTTTTAAAATAGTTGTGAAGCATTAGAGGTTTTCAGACCAAAGTGATCAGGTTTGTCATCTCCATTGTCTTAATATTCTTCTCAAGATAGCAGTGCCTTTCAAAGACTTGATTTGTATGAGATATCTCCAGATTCTATACATTGAATTTAACTGTTTGTCTTTTGATTTGTGCCTCAGTAAAGACACAACATGTGAAACAGCACACATGGTCCTGACTCCATGGTGAACAAAACAATGCTATTTTTGTAGCAGTTTTTTCTATTTAAATGTCATTCCAAAAAATGATGTGTGTATATTCTAACTAAACTACACGACAAATGAACATCCAGTATGTAATTATACTCTAAGTCCTGTAAAATGTAAATGTCATCATTTTTCATTCAGAAGTTGTTCTAATCTTGTTTGACTTTCTTTCGTCTGAGGAACAAAAAAGGAAATACTTAGTAAAACATCCAAGCAGCTCTTTTCCAGAACTTGTGCACTATATTCCAATTAATCAAAATTGTCGTACTGAAGATCTTTTGTTAGGAGGAACAGGCCAAAGTAGTTATTTAATGATAATGTTCTTTTTCCATAGTAGCTCTCGAATTTCAATAAGGACAGAAAAAGCAATTTTTTGACTATAGACAAAAGCTAGACACTTGGCATGGGCCGGTATGAGATTTTGACGGTATGATAACCTTAAGCAAAAATATCACGGTTTCACGGTATCACAGTATTGTCGTTACAGCTCTAAAATGTGTTATTTTTAAATGACTGGGTAAAAAAACTAAAAAAAACTTTTTTTCGCTGAATACAATATATTTTGTTTTTGAGCAACATACAGAATATTAAGAACAGTAAAATTTGCTTAGTTTTTCTTTGATTAGTTTCCTAAAAAGAAGAAAAATAAAGACTGACATCTTTATTTAACCTAAATCTGTAATTACAGTTATTTAATTGTAGTTATATAATTCATATACATATCATTTATATAATTTCATATCAGAATCAGAATCAGAATCAGAAAGAGCTTTATTGCCAAGTATGTTTGCACATACAAGGAATTTGTTATAGTGTCACAAGCTTCCAGTACATGGAGACAACAACAACACATAGATAATAAAAATAAGATGTGAATAAAATACGCATGCATAAATATAAACCACAAAAAAAGAATAAATTGTATGTACAGGTGTGCTATAGATAGAATAGGAATAGAATAAAATAAAATAAAATAAAGTTGTAGGGATGTACTAGGATTTAGGGTGATAAATAAGTATAAGGTTATTGCACATACTTTAATTGCACAATGGGAGAACATTAACTGTTCATGAGGTAGATTGCCTGGGGAAAGAAACTGTTCTTGTGCCTGACTGTCCTGGTATTCGGTGCTCTGTAACACCGACCAGATGGCAAAAGTTCAACCACAGGTCTGTAGTCATTAAGTCCTATTATCTTGGGTTTCTTTGGTATGGGGATGATGGTGGAGCATTTGAAGCAGGCAGGGACTTCGCAC